GCCTGGTATTGCCTATTTTGAATCACACAATCAGTTGGTCTACTAGGCAAAGAATAACAAATTGAAAAGGAATGATAATTATACTCGTAATAAAAAAGAGCATCTTAAGATCTATCCTGAGTTGACATAAAGAGGAGTCAATTTGACAGAAGTTGGTGCTATATGCATGTGCAGAGTTTGTGTGTATATGCCCACAAATCACTTGCACAAAAACAACAGCAAAAAGATATATCCTGAGGTACAATGCTGTCAGTCACAGGATAATATCCAAATACTTACAAGGAGGACAGGTTCACATGATTGTAATTCAAATTTTTACACCAATCATTAAAGCCAACAATAAATACATTGAAGATTTTTGCAACTTTTACGCTCTGAAATTGATCAAACATGTACTCAAGATGCATTGATAATTATTGGTGATTGAAATACAAAAGTTGGAAACAAGGAAGAAGGCTCCGTAGTTGGAAAATATGGCTTTGCTGATAGAAATCATGCCAAATATCATGACAGAATACTGAAAGAACAATGACACACTCATTAGAAATACCATCTTTCAATACATAAATGATGGCTATACACATAGACTTTGTCAAATAAAATACACAGGAATTAAATCCCCCACCTGTGTGGGAAAAGATAGTGGAGTGCTCAGTATCATTAATCAAAACAAGATCAGGTGCCAACTGCAGAACTAACCATCAAATGCACATATGCAAATTCAAGTTGATGTTAAAGAAAATTAAAACAAGTAAGTCATGACAGCCAAACTACAAACTTGTGTATATTCTACATAAATTTAAAGGCCATGACAAGAACAGATTTAGTGCACAGAACACTAATGACAGAACACACAGTTGTGGCATGACATCAAGGGCATTGTAGTTACATAATCTGTTGACAATTTGAGACTATTAAGAGTGAGGGGGTGGAGTTTAGCCTATAAATCAGGTCACAGCTTGATGACCTCACTTGGAGGTGCTAAGGAGATAAATATCTTGCTGGAGGCAGGACACACACTCACTCCCTGCAAGACATTCCTGTTCACAAGACACATGGAGCTACACTACAGTCCTAGAGCTGGAGGAGCCAAGTGGAGACTCCTGCCAGTGCTGAGAAGCCTCCACTACCACTGGATCCACAAAACTTTCCACCTAATGGCCTGTGATCTTCCTGCATTCAATGTCATTGCATGTGAGTCTGAAGAGGAATTTATAGATTGGTATTGGACATATGGGCTAATATCAGACTTAAGGACTTATCTAGGCTGGGCTGGGATGTTTTTTAATATACAATTGCTCTTTTATATAAAGCTCTTTCTTACACACATATGAGTGTCTATGAATATGTTTATCTAGTCCACCCGGACTAACACAGACATCATTCATGAAGAATGTAAAATGCCATTAAAAATTCAGGAAAGAAAGATCAAAATAGATGTCACGAGGACTATGAAGATTGCTCTTGAATACAGAATATCTAAAGAGAATATGAAACATGATAAAGTAACAGAAGATTTCAAAGGGTAGTTGAAAAGACTATACCAAGCATTATAATAAAATGCTTATTATACACCTAGAATTAGAAAGCCAAAAAAGGTGAACATAGTCTGCATTTCGCAAGCTTTAAAAAATGAAGGAAAAAACCCAAGCCTTGGGTTGAAATATTGGATGATTCTAGGGGCAAAATGTTTAACTATGTAAGAAATATCAAAAGGAGATGAAAATAATATGGCTGTACTAAAATTATTGGTTGATATGCAGTCATTTCAGAAGAAAGCATGTGATCAAGAATCAGTGATATTAAAGAAAGAACCCTAAAAAATACATGGAAGTCACTGGCAAAAAAAAGTTCCAGGATTAATAGTATAACAAAGGATGTTTCAACAAATGGATACAAAGTTGTAAGCAGTCACTTCCTTTATTTGATAAAGGAAGTTGGAAACAAAAACAAAAATTTTGCTCATCAGCCCAATATAGCATAAAGGAAGCTTATTTCCTGGTAAGAGATGTAGGTATGAAAAAAATTCCCAATGTGTGCTTCTCTAAAGAAACGAAACCAGGGATGCTTAGAGAGAGTTGTATCAAGAAAATGGTTTGCATAGTTGTAGAAGTGGACAAGTCCAATTCATGCTCTGTGGGTCAGATGTTGAGCTTCTCTTGGCTTCTCTTCGCTCATACAGTTTCAGGTCTTAATGAACCAAAGACTGGCAGGAACACAATTTGATATCATCAGGTTGCAGAAACAGATGGACCCAAGGTCAGCAAGTTAGGAGACTACTGGCTTAAGTCCAAAGAACCAGAGACTGATGACCCAGATGCAGGACCCAGACCCAGAAAGAAGCAAGCACGCTTTTCAACAGAGTCTACTTATATAGCTATTAGGTCGCACCCCTGAGAACACTTCCACGCATCAGGGCTATAACCATAGTTACTGGTAGGTGGTTGCAGTCCACTCTAATCTCCTTACAACTGTGTTGCTGATATTATGGAATTGATTACAATATGTTAGGTCACATCATGAGGGATTACTAGGCCTCCATGTTCAAAGCAGAGAATCCTGGCACAGGCAAGTTAACACAAAACCTAACTATCATAAGGGAGGGGGGAGCAGGGAGGGAGAAGGAGGAGAAAAAGGAAAATGAGCTGATTCCAGGAACCCAAGTGGAAAGTGAATTTTGAGAATGATGAGGGCAACAAATGTATAAGTGTGCTTTACCAAATTGATGTATGTATGGATTGTGATGAATTGTATGAGCCCCAATAAAATTATTTTTTAAATAATAATAAAATTTTTAAAAAATAGCTAGTCTCCAAAAGTAAAAGGAAACAGAGGAAAGATCTAGGAAGCAAAGATATGGATAGACCTATAAACATAGGTGTGTACATATGTAAATATATTAATTCATAAAAATAGAGGTATTGTCATATCTTGCACTGTCTGA